GCCAGATCAGCTCAGGCAGCTCCTTTCCTTCTGCCACAAGGGCTCTTCTCAGGAAAAACAGGTAATAAATGACCTCTATGTCAGGCAGAAGTGTAAATGCAGGGAAGTCATGCAGCAGGTGCAGCAATGCAGAGCTGGTGGTGTGCTGGGGACATGGCACAGAGCCTCTGCTGTGGCACTGGGAACAGCTGCTCCTTTGGTCCCCAGGCACTGCAAGATGACTTTTGGGGGAAATGTGGTGCTTCTGGAGCCTGTTTTTATACAGCAACACAGAGCAAGGGTTTAACTGTGGGCTGTGGTACCCACCAAGGGCTAAAGACTTGGAGAATTGCTCTTGCAATTTTGAGGCTGATGGAAGTCAGGCCTGAAATATCTGTGCCAGATTTTTACTGAACCAAAGCAGGGACCCTGTCTGGAAAGCCAAGGGCCAGAAAGGTAGAATTAGAGCGCTTGCCCTGGTAGGAAATGTTAGCAGGCAGAAGTGGGATTTAGAAGTTAGCAAAGCAAAGCTGCTGGCAGCCTGTGCCGTGTTTCTGATGGACAGGGCTGCAGATTCTGCAGCCTTTCAGCACACTGAGGAATGAGGAACATCCATGTCTGCCTGGTGTCAGACTGTCCCTGGGGCACAAGGGACAGCTCATCCCCTTGGAGTGACACAGTGATGGCTCTGAGCTTCATTCAGAAACTGAGAGATTGCTTCTGCTTCAAGCTAACGATAACGAGCCACCCCAGTTTTCACTTCCCCAGCAGTGCCCTCTTTTTCTGTCTTAGATGAAAATGTTTTTGAAGTATGTCACAGCTTTTTGGTAGCAGCTTTCACACTTTCCCCCCACACCTGACATTCAGCTGAACTCTCATTTTTCAGTCAGCCGCCCCAGCTGACACAGGGTTCGTTGCTGAAATGTAGCAACAAAAGCAAATGGAAAGCCCCAAGCAAGAGATCTGCTGTGAGATGTTAGCAGAGCTTTGTGAGCACCAACATGAAAGTCAGAGGGAGGTCTGGATGTGTACCTGCACCCTGTGTGTGTGTCCTCCCTGTGCAGCCACCTCCAGTGCTGCAGCTGCTCTGGCTCCTCCTGGATGTGTAACAAATCCATTTGGGGTTTTTGACAGGTGTGACACTGGCTGCATCCAGCTTTGTCATAGAATCACAGAATTATTGTAATGTAGGAGCTGCCTGTGCAAGATGTTTGTGCTGCCTGTGTCCTGCTGCTGCTCGGGGTGGCATGGCCTGACCAGAGCAGGGTGAAGCCAGGGTTGGGAGTGTGAGAGGTGGAGATTCCAGCCCTTCCCACACCTGTGCCCTCCTCACCTGGCAAGCCCAGCGTTGGTGTTGTCCAGCCTTGGCTGCAGAGCAATGAAAGGCAGAGTGCATTCCGTGCTATGAAGGCTCAATTGCACATACTCGAAAGCTGGCGGATGTGGTGAGAGGTTTCTGCAGCAAGATAAAGCAAGCCAGGCATGGCCTGCACTGCCTGGATAGTCATGGTCTGCCTTCCACGCAGTGGTGGAACAATCAGCACCTTCTTGGCAAGTGCTTGGATCCCCCTGGTCTCCCAGAGGTTGCTGAGCCCACCAGAAATACCTGTATACACTGAAATATCTGTGTATCAATACTGAAATACCCGTATATCACTGAAATACCTGTATACACTGAAATACCTGTATATCAATCACTGAAATACCTGTGTATCACTGAAATACATGTATATCAATCACTGAAATACCTGTATACCATTGAAATATCTGTACATCACTGAAATACCTGTGTATCAATCACTGAAACAACTGTATATCACTGTGAAATGCCTATATATCAATCACTGAAATACCTGTATACACTGAAATACCTGTACACACTGAAATACCTGTATATCAATCACTGAAATACCTGTACACACTGACATACCTGTATATCACTGAAACACCTGTATATCAATCACTGAAATACCTGTAAATACCTGTATATCACTGAAATACCTGTATACACTGAAATAACTGTATGTCAATCACTAAAATACCTGTACCCACTGAAATACCTGCATATCAATCACTGAAATACCTGTATACACTGAAATACCTGTATATCACAGAAATACCTGTATATCCCTGAAAAACCTGTACACATTGAAACACCTGTATATCACTGAAATACCTGTATACACTGAAATACCTGTCTATCATTGAAATACCTGTATATCACTGAAATACCTGTATGTCACTGCTGCCTCCTCACTGCTAAAATCTTCTCTTACCCCTTCTCTTCATGGGCAGGTGGGCTTGGCCAGGTGGCTCATGAATTTGGAGGACACTCTTTTTACTAAATCACCCTGAAAGCTGCAGATGGGAAAAGCAAAAGAGTGAATAAATAGAACAGTAGAAACCAGTTTTCTAGCTGGAGAACTTGAGGGACTTTCTTGGTCCTTGTGAAAAATGCCTGTATTTTACGATTGGCTTTTTGCAAATATTAAAATGAATATTATATGTGTTGTGTTAGAAAGCAATGATGTATTAATTCTCTTAAGTACTGTGTTAAATATAGTTTTAGGTTATAAAAATTGTTAAAATAGAAACTATGCTATGGAAGATGCTTTGTTTAAGAGAAAGGACTTGCAGCGAGATAGCAGCCACAGGACACCTAGATCTTACAGAGAAAAAGAATTTATTACCCTCTTATCAGAAGAAACGAACTTCTTCCTGCCTCGAAGGCGCTGTTAGGATTAGAGGGAAGAAGTTGATAAAGACCAGACAGAATCCTGTGTTTGAATGGAATTTATGCATCATGTATGAGGTGTATGAATATGCAACGGGCTGTTGTTCTTAAGGGTTAATCCTTTGTTAGCAGGGGTCCTTTTTCGGGCTAGTGATGCCCAGAAAAAGGCACCCAGATGTCGGTAACTCTTTGCTTTTATTGTCTCATCTATTGTCCTAACCATTTTATTACTATTAAACTTTTAAAAAATTTAAAAACAAGTGACTGGCGTTTTTCCCAGTCCTTGTGCCACATATTTCAGCCCCAGCACTCCTGAATCCCTGCCTGAATGGTGAAGAACAAAATTTTGGAGGCTCTGCAGGGAGGAAGCCTGGCTGCCCCAGGCCAGGCACTCACGGTGAGTATCTCTGGGCTGCCAGAGGAAGGGGCGGCACTGGAAGTTATGCGGCTGAGCAGAGCGTGCTCGGAAGTGCTTTGTTTACAGGCTGCTTTGCATCTCCCCCACCCTTTGTGTCAGCGGTTGGTGGAGTAGAAGTGGTTTTTTCTTGCCCATTTTAAACAGCAGCTTGGTTTGTGCAGAGCTTTTGCCTCTGAGGAGCTCTCACCCGTGCTGGTGAGACCAGAGGTACAGAATAAACACGCTGGCAATCAGGTGATCTCTCAAATCACCCCACAGGTCCTGTACTTGGGGGGAGAATGTTAACGCTCTGTTAGCTTTCCTGGGGAACAATCCATCAGATCACAGAGTGCAGGTGTTATTCAGAAATGCAGGAGAGCCAGGAGCAGCAGCAGGGCTGGGGAAGCAGGGTGTGACCCTTGGGCTGAGCCAGCAGCACAAAATCCATCTCTGCATGCACTTCACCCATCGTCGCTGCTTTGATCTGTTCAAAGAAAATGCAAGTGTAGAAAAGGGGAGATGAACCAACCTCCTTAGGTGGTCTTCACAGCCAGAACCTCTCCTCCTTTCCCTTTCTCCTCCTTTCACTTCCCATTGAGTCGTGAGCAAAGGAAAGATTCTGCTCAGATTTTGGTGCTCACAGAGCAGATATCCCCATTTCTGTCTGACTCTCTGGCAGCATGCTGAGAATCCTGCATCCCCTGGGAGGCTGGCAGGGTTTTGCTGCTGTCCTGTGCACTGAGCAGCCACTGCCCAGGTGGATGGAGGGCTCTGCTCAACCATTGTCTGCAGCAGGGGGTTCCTCCTTTTGCCATGGCCTTGAACAGGAGGAGACACAAAGGCAGGGCTGGCTGTAGGAGCTGTAGGGATGTTTCTGTGGCAGCAGCACATGGACAGCAGCTGTCCTAGGGTGACTTTATGATGCTTGTGTCACCAGTCATCTGTCCTGTTTAGGCTGGATATTAATTTCTGCACCTCTAAGACTGGTTCTGAAAGTGAAGGGGAATAAAAAAAGCGTGCAGTGTGTTTGCAGAAACTGCACTTGCTGCTCTGCATTCCTTCTCACGAACTGTGTTGTCTGCAGCACAGAAAGAAAGAAAGAAAGAACTCTCCTTTGCTTTTTAGTTAGTTTGTTTTAGCTAACTGAAGCAGAGAAATTCCCCAGACTGTGATTTTTCTTTTTCTTGAAACTGATCAGCCTGCTGTGGACTGCAAACCCAGAATACCAGGAGCTCACACCTGTGGTCCACCAGGACTGGGACGCTGCATTTCCAGCACAGAAGGGACTGATAAGAGACTGAGTGAGCCGAGTTACACCCCACCAAAAAAGCTTTCTGAATTTGCCATCTCTTCAGAAAAACAGGAATTTTTTTTTTTTGTTTTTTTTTTTTTTTATTTTCTTTTTGATTGTTTTCTTTTTTAATTAACCGGTTTTTTTTTTACTTTTCTCCAAAGAAATCTTTTCCTGAACCAGCTGGGAAAAGGGTCACTTAAATCTACTTTCTAGAAAAACCCTGTTGGAAGTTTCGTCCCAAATTTGCCCTAAACCAAACCAAATCCAGCAGCCCAGCCTGGGGTTAGGAGGTGTGAGTGGAGGTGTGTGCATGGTGCAGCCCAGTTCAGGGCGTGTGGTCTGAAGCTGCTGAGTGGTTTCATCTACTTTTTAGATGTTTGTGGTAAAATTACCACAGGGTGGGACACTCTGCTCTGCCTTAAAAAAATCCCAGTCCCACTTAGAGCTTGTACCCACTGCCCCTGGCTTGGACAACAGGGAGCTGTCCCTCGTGGACAGGCAGCACAGCAGGTCCTCTACCACCCCATCTCCCCCCTTTTCCATTTAAATCATTAAAAAGTGAATTTCCATGCTAGAGACACAACTTTATTCAGGTTGATTTCTTTGGAACAGCTTTGCTACTACTTTACACTATAAGATTGAATAGAGTCCTAATACAGAGTCCTTGTTCCCACTGCCCCGCACCAACTCTTTAATTTTAATGCCATTTGACTCAAACATTTTGACTCACACAAGTTTTTCCCCAGTACAAGCAATTGCAATCTCTTCTGACCATGTGTTGTAATGATGACCATTTGGTTGCTGTTACATTGCTGTAAAGTTCTTTAAAGCAAGCTAAAAATGCCTATTATGGGATTGTGCATTATTGGCAACTAAAAACCAGTAAGATTGTGACTTACAGAAACACCATCCTTTCTTTTTTTGCATACTTTCACTCTGATTTTTTAGAAGTTTGTTGACATATGGAATAGCCTATTTCTTTGTCACAGCTGCACAAGAACTTATCCAAGGTGGGGATGAGAGACAAAACCCAATCTTTTACCAGTGCCTGTGCTTCTTTTGGGTTTCATGGGAAAATGAAAGCTGGGGGTTTTTGGCAGGGGAAATCTACCCTACCCTTTTACGCAAATTTGCATTAAGGCAGAGAATTGTCAACGGCAATCTAGATCCTTAGATCAGAACCTGGACTGCTGTGGTTATCTGATTCAGAGCTGAATCATGTATCTGAATGTTTCCCATTAGTACAATGTCCCTCCACCCCACTCTTATGAAAAGCAAGTGTGAAACCCTGCTAGTGAGTCCCAGTTGAACACGGCAAATATAAAATGCGTGCTGTATGTGTTTTGTGTTAACGTGTTACAAGTGAGAGCTGAATTTCAGCTCCTTCACCGGCCTCAGATTTGGACTTTGCTAGCTTGGGAGATGCTTCCTTAAATTCCTGGTTGACAAAGTAGTAACAAATGGCATCCAGGCAGCAGTTTGTGTTGGCCAGGATGGAGGCGAAGTGCACGAAGTTGTTGACGCTCTGTATTGCCGAGCAGTCGGAGCTGACGGAGTCCAGGACGAAGCGGAGGAGATGCCCGAGATAAAGAGGTAAAAAGCAGATGATGAACACAGCCATGTTTGCAGACACAATGTAGACAGCTTTCCTGGTCAGCATTTCATTGCAACAGTTGTCAGTCTTCTTCCTCCTGAGCTCTGCAATGATTTGTATGGAGCAGTAACTCAAGATGAGCAGTGGTATGAAAAACCCCGCAATAATGGTACACAGTGTGATCACTGAGGGTGTCACAGAAGATTTTTCAAAGCAAAAATCATCTTCTCTTCGGTCCTCAAAGCTTTTAATGAGAGAAGTCTCACAGATGATGATTGTCCAGAGGACTCCAGAGGCAAAAGCTGCCATCAGAGGAGACCTGAGTGCCTTGGATCTCAAAGGGTACTTGATTGCAAGGTACCTGTCAGCAGCAATGAGGGTGATGATGCCGATGCTCATGAAGCGGTTTGTGAAATAGCCACCTTCCAGAACCAGGCACCAGCCATCCACCTTCAGGCGCTGGAACTGGGACAGAGTTTTGAACGGCAAGGTGAAGAGCAGCAAGCAGTCAGCCACAGCCAAGTTGACCATGTACACTCGGGTTTCTGTCCATTTGCCAAGTTTGTAACAGAACACCCACAGCGCCAACACGTTCAGCACAATGCCCAAAACCAGAACTGGGATGTAAACACACAGCTGGAAAACTGAGAATATTTCATAGGCTGTGATATTGCAGCTGCTGTGGTTCATTTTGAGGGTATCAAAACGTACAGTTCCTGCAAAAGCAAATTAAGCTTTTTACAAGGGAGGTTCTGGATTAGTGATTAATTCTAATTGAGAGAGATTGGGGTTTTGCCACCTTTTGCCTGATGCAGGGTACCTAGTGGGAAGAAGAGGGACAGGGACACAAGCCTGATCAGTTGTGAAGGAGATAAAAACTTAAGGATTCTCCCTGGGCCCTGTGTGGGGAAGACTGCTCCTGGAGGGTGGGAGGGAAAAAGGCTTGGGCCCCTGTTTTGGCTCAGACTTGGATCAGGCAGCAGCAGATATCCTGCAGCAAGGAGTTATGTGAGCCACTGCAAACATTTGATAGTGGGAAGGGGATCCCTAAACCCAGCTCTCATCCCTTCCTTTATAGCAGGGCTCAGTGGAAGCCAGCCAGTGACCTCACAGCTTAAAATGTCCCAGATGTGCAGCAGAAGGACAGCTGTCCTTTCCCTCAGTCCTGAGATGCCTCTGCATCACTTCTCATTAGTGACACGAGCAATTATTAGTGTATCTCTTATTAGTGTATCTCTCACTGGTTTCAGCTGCCTTCAAATTCTGTACTCAGAGGGCTGCACTGAGAATCGGAGTGCTGGGTCTGCTCGCTGCCTTTCCAGGATTGTCAAAGCTGCTCTTTATCTCAAAAGCACTACAGCCACTGTTCCAAGACAAAACAAACTCACCTATGCCATGGCAGCAATGTGATGTAGAAGAGGTGATCTATGTTTGGTCTAGCAGGTGGTTTTATCACCTTGGATCTAAGGGTAATATTGCTGTTTGCTCTCCAGCTTTGGAGGAGTTAATGCAGAAGCACGTTCCACGTGCAACTGTTCATGGACACAAAAAGCCCAAGATGTCTGACATGTTTTTGGGTTTTCCCTGCAGAGGGAACGTGGCTCCATGGGGGAAGGTTCATGGGTCTCAAAAGCAACACCAGCGAGCAAACCATAAGGGAGTGCTGCAGCATTTATGTGCATCTGTGGGTCTTGGTTAGCTTTGAAAATCTAGAGGAATCACAGAATCACACCAGGACACCTTTGAAGAGGTGAGGGAATGTGGTACAGCAGATACCTGCAGCAGCTCTGTCCTCTGGACACGAGAAATGTGTTATGAGCCCATAAGATAAAAGGGAAGATCGTAACAGGGAGACCTAGAAAAGATCTAGCAAAGGCTGAGACAGCCCTCAAGCACCCCAAAACATGTCAGATGTGGTCAGTATCAAAATGAACATTTGAAAATATATTGGCTCCAGCCCTCTCTTTCTCCATCTCTATTCTGGTGTCCCACCACTGCTGGGGAAAGGTGAAGCCTTGCAGAATTCAAATAGCCAGGAGAAATTACCTGTTCTCTTGCTGTCCTCAGAGAGAGTGAGTTCCTCCAGCCCAGCTGTGGAGTGCTGTGCAGGCAGGACGAGCAGTGCTCCTTGCACATGACCGGTCAGGTGTCCTGTGATCACAATTTCTGGTGGCTGTGAGAGCAGCAACGCTGGCCAAGAAAGCACCCACAGCGCTCCTGAACAAAGGGCAGAGCTTCCTCTGTCATCACCATTGGTGTGGCTTGTACCACCTCCTGCTGACTGAGGAGCCTGCAATAGCCCTGCAGGGAGGTGAGAGGCTTGTCTGCCCTGCATCCCTGCAGCAGCTCCTCTGGAGGTGGAATAGCTTTGGCTTTTTCCTTTGCTTTGCCTTCCATTGCCTGATGTCTCGCTGGGCAATGCCTGTTGACCTTCCTCGCCCAACAGACTGCTTGGAGGGGCCCCATTGCCCTGGAATGTCCTGAGGTCTTCTCTCTGCCTTCCTGAGTGCCACCCCTGCTGGGATTGGAGCAGGAGTGGCTTCTGTTGTCACACTGCCTGAGCCCTGGGACAGAACAGCCCCAAAAGCCCTGCAGCTGTTGGAGAGGTGAGGGCAGTGGTTTCCAGGCAGTTTTGTGATTATTATAAAGCGTTTCACTCTGAATCACAGTAGTTCTCTTGTCTTCCATAGCTCTTCTCAGCCAGCAATTCTGAGAAAACGTAGCACCGTGACCCTGTGACCTGCTGGCTCTGTGACTGCTCAGTGGTTGCAGGTGTCTGTGTCCCAGGGTGCTCTTGGGCTCCCCACGAGAGCCTATTTACCAGAAAAGCTCAGACAAGTTGATCAATGAGCTTAAAGATGCTGATATTAGCACCTTGAATTGCTGTCTTGGGCAAACGTATTTCCCCTTTGCTCTAAGGTCACATTAGAGCAGTTTCTGGAGTATTTCTGCATTATCTGTCTGCACATCACAAGCCAGCCCTTGAAAATAATTCCATGCCAGTGTACAATCACATTATATTACAAACTTCTAAATTTCCAGGGACTGCTTTTGCCTTTCTTGGGGCTGCTCCTTGGTGGATGCTTACAAGTCATTACTGACATATTAGTGTGCCCAGCTCATTGATCTCCAACCAACAACATTTTTATGTCATGGTCCTTGTTGGTACTTTAAAGTCATCCAGCTTCTGGACTGTGATAGCTTCATCACTGTATAGAAAACTTTGCATCCTCCTCAAGCGTTGTTCACAGCCTCCTCTTGTCTGTTTTCCAGGAAATCACCAGTGGTGTAAACCATGAGCAGTCAAAGTCGTGCCTGGAGGGGCTCAGCTCATAGAACCTCTCCAGTGTGATGCTTCCATCCAGAGCTTGGTGCTGTGGTTGCCAGATGAGGGTCCCATCAGCCCAGCGAGGTCTCGAGACAGGGAGCAGCCATGTCACTAGGCACAAAGCACCTGGCTGTGAGCAGCATGCTCACCAGCATGTGTCAAAGCAAACTCAACACCAGCTACCAGCAGGCAAAGCTAGGATCAAGTGCTGTCTGCAGAGAACTTAGATGGCTCCTGCTGAGGCTCTTGGGTCTGTGCCTGATTCCTGGCCATGGCAGCATCAGGATCCCCATCCTTCTCTGCACCCTGTTCCTCTGTCAGCCACCATCATCTGCAGCTGCTCAGGGTCCCCTCCTTCCAGGCAGTCACAGGTTTTATCCCCCCTGCCATGGGCCACTGACGCTCACTTGGTATTTCCCCTGCCTTGCAGCTCACGGCCTGTCTCAGTGCTGAGTGCTGTCCCCGTGTGGCGCACAGGAGGTGACACTTGTGCTGTGTCCCTGCTGGCAGCTCTCGGGCAGGCTCTTCCAGGGCCCAGCAGCACTGCAGAGCACTGGTGCCTGTCCCCAGAGAACCTTGCACTGACACCAGCATCCACCACATTGTGCCTGGAAAAGCGATTTCTGAATGAAAGTAGCCAGCGGGACAAAATATTCACTGGTATTGCCTGCTGTCAGACAGACTGATGAGCTCCTGCCTCCTCTCCCTGCTGGGGAATATCTCCATCTCCCCGGCATTGCTGTGTCCTGCTGGCTGCAGCTGCAGGGGCAGAGCCTCTGGCAGGGTGGGAGGGGTGCTGGTACCATCTCCCCACACAGAGAGGGACACAGGGCTCTGGCTGCCCTGCAGTGCCTCTGCCCCACGGGGTTGCTTTCCTGCCTTTCTCACGGCCAGAGGGGATGGTGCAACAGCAGATCTTGACCAAAAGAGAACTGTGGGGTTGAGAGCAAAACATGTCAGTCTTATTTCTAGCATGTCAGATGGTGGTTTGAGGCTAAGTGCCTCACAATGAGCTCACTTAAGCAATCCCACACAATGACCAGCCCTGGCTGTTGGGGCTGTTTCCCCTTTCCCTTCCCCAGCACTGCACGGAATTGCCTATGGCAGGAAATGCTGTTGGGGCTCCTGTGTTGCAACCCTCCCCATGCTCCTGCACTGACGTCTTGTGGGGCTACCTAAAAACAGAGGCCAGACAAAATTAAGAGAATAAAAAGCAGCTGTATGTATTGTAGGGCCTTCAGGTACACTTAGGGCAGACGAAGACCCACAAGGGCTACACCCAAAAATGGATGATGGGTCACAGGTTTTCACACTTTTATAAATTTGTCCATTAGATATTGGGGGTCAATCTTCCAAGAATCTTCTAATTCCAGCTTCAGGTAATGAAGCCATGTACCCCAAGTTTGCTCCCCCCAACTCCCTTTTATTTTACATCTCTCAGGGCCTGAAGCCTGAGGTGTCCTTGATTGGAGAAGAATTGTTGTGTCTGCCCAAAACGGGAAAGCAGCAACTGACACTGTGTGTGGAGTTTAGAGTTACACTAAAGAACAACAGGATTACAAATACATGAACAACACAAAAGCTAAAGTTCTAAGGCATCAGCAGCACCAGGGACCAGCTGAGTATCTGTGCCCACACACTGAGCAGGGCATGGAAAAGCCTGTGCTTCCCAAGAGCCTGATGCTGCTCCAGGGCTTGTGGAGTTCCCTGGAGGCTGCTGGGCAGCACTCACCCTTGGAACAGCTATGCTGTGCCAAGGAAACAAAATCAGAGATGCCTCCAGCACCTGAAAGCAGCACCCAGGCCACAGCTCCCCAGTATTGTCCTTTCAGCCCCCTGGAGATCAAACCTCTGATAAGAACTCGGGTCTCAGCCCGCCCAAATGCCACCAAACAGCAAAATAGTGTCTAATTCCAGCCCCTGCCTTCCATGCATAGGAGGGCCAAAAATGTTATATTGGTGGCTACTCACTCACTCACTCACTCACTCACTCACTCACTCACTCACATAAAAGCAGATTATTTTTGCAGATTCATAAAAGCAAGATTCTGAATTACTTTGTAAGCTTTTCCTTCCTTTCCTTTCCTTCCTTCTTTTTTTTTCTTTTTTTTTTTTTTTTCCCTCACAAGCCTGAAGTGGAAACCATTATTCGCTTTTTTTTCTTTTAAGGAACAGGAAAGTTACATTTTGCAGAAATGTTGGTAAAATGTAGTGGTTCAGCCTTGCTGTTTGGGGCAGCTGATGGACTCTGGCAGCTATGGCTGGTCCCCACTACCATTTCCCAGACTCTTGTGCTAGGAAATGGAAAAGATTTGGGGTTAAGGACGTCGCCATCCTCCTGGACTGCTATTGCAGTGCTGGATGGAGGCCAGCAGTTTGTTGTGGCCCAGGGTCTGATAACTCATCTGTTCTATTTACTGGGAGCACTCAGGGAGCTGAGGCTTTGTTCAGATTTGAAGCAGGATGCCAGAAACCCATCCTAAACGTGACATTTAAACCAGGTAATAACTTTTGTCCGAGGTAGAACCTATATCTTCAGATAATCAGGAAGTTCCTTGCTCATCTTTGGGTTTCACTGTTAAATACCCTGCTAGAAGGCAGATCTTATATCTCTGTGGCAAAGGCTTTTCTCCCAATCTCCAGTATAGGTTTAGCATTAAGAGTAGAGGACTCTGCTGTATAATGGTAATAAATAAATATTTATTTATAGATATGTTACTATGACACCTTTATTTTCACTTGCAAAAGTATGGATTTTTTTTTGTTTGTTTTCATACATTCAGTGGAAACAGCAAAAAAAATCTTAATGATAACAGAGATTGTGAAATCAACTAATTTTCCCTTTACAATGAGAAAAAGGATCACTTATCAGACCTGTATGTGTATAAAAAGCATTGCTGATCAGTATTTCAGAGTAGATAACCTATTTGGAGCCCATTGTAAATTGAACAAGTTCTCCATGTTAACTGGGAGAAAACATGAGCATGACTGAATCTGCAAAAATAAGCAAGTTTTTTCCTGTCTGGATTAACAGTAGGTTGATATGAATCTTTATCTCTTTTTTCAAAATAATAAAAAAAATCATAATAATCTTTTTGGAACAGGCATTCATTATAAGCAATGAGATGCAAGGTCTCAGAAGGGAATCCTAGGTCCAGAAATGTTTTTGAAGGCCCTCTGTGCTGTTCCTGAAGTAGCAGTGTTTTTCCTTGCTGAACACCACTTGCCTGGCTTGTAAGAGATGGCTGTCAAGAAGCCTCTTACTTTCTGGGGGTAGTTAATTGCAGCATATTTGTTGATGGGTGACAACACTCACACATCTCCTTAAGCAATAGATGGTTGATAACATCAGGCACTATTTGTCTCCCATATCTTCTCCTGTCTCTGAAAAGATCATTTAGAAGGCAGAATGAAGACTAAACAGTTTGCAGTGGTTACACTGGTCACATACATACACAGGCTACTTTGTCTGCTTGCAGTGAAGCACCAGTAATGACAGAGCATTAGAAAATACACCAGTGAAGAAAACTGGGACTGGAGTTATCAGCTGAATGACCTGAGTAGTTTCATCTGTTCTTACGGCACCGTTGCTCACTGCAGGTTCTGCTGTGTTGCCTGCCCAAGCATTGACACAAAGCAGGTGGATCTAATGTCTGGATATGGGACACTTTCTGTGCTGGGAACAGTCCTTTGTGTGTTTATTTCAGCAAGGTCTAGTCAGTGGTTTCAGACTGTGGTCTGAACCTGTGTCACTTTGGCGTGGTGACAGACTCGTAGGGGAACTAGATGTCAGTTGTCACTAAGGAAGTTAATTGTCTCTAAGTTTACATCAGCAGAATGTGAGCTTGCAGTCCCAGGAGGAAATGTTTTAGAGTTTTACAAGTCAGAAGACACTGAAAGTGAAGGACCACGAAGCCAACCAACACAAGCTGCCACCAGGAGGCGCCTGGAGCTGCGATGCAACGATACAAGACAGTAGTCAGAGCTGGAGTCAAGTCACTGAGGACAGCAGGACAAAATTCAAGTTAACATCAGACCCTTTGGAGGGGTTTGCCCCTTTTTGTCCATATGCCTGTGCCTACAATGATTGCAAACACTGTATGTGGCTCCATTGCCTGTGCCTCAAAACTTGAGCAGCTTTGTGGCACTCAACACCTGCCATGCACTACACCTTGTTCATATCATCACTTGATCCGTGGGTGGCTGTGACTCCTTGCTTTGGTTCATCTTGGACCTGATAAATATACACTTGGGGAACATAGAAGAAAACTCTGAAAATTCCTTGGCTGCAAAATAATAGCAAAATGCATCCAGACAGCAGTTAGAATTTGCTAAGCATGCAGAGACCTTAATGTAGGTTATAACTCCTGGCATCAGAGAACAAGCTCCAGCAGTTTCCACCGCAAACCGCAAGAGCAGTGAGATGTGGAAAGGTGAGAAACAGACAGCAAACACACACAAATTCACAGAAACTATCTGCACTGCCTTCTGGAATAATTTTGTCTCATGAGGACCTGTGGCCATCTTCTTTTTTAGACATCTGATGATTTGTACGGAGCAAAACATCACAATCCCTAAGGGAATAAAGTACCCACAGATGCTGTAGAATAAGGAGGAATATTTAGGTAGAAGAGATTGTTTCTGAAAGCAAAAACCATTCTGGTTACCGCGATGTGTGCGATACGAAATGGAATAAGTTAGCATTGCTATCCAGAAAAAGCCACAGACAGAAGCTGACTTCAGTGGGGATCGAAGGATCTTTGCTTTTAGAGGGAACTTGATTGCAAGGTATCGATCAATCGCAATCAGGGTGATGATGAAGACGCTCATAGGCATGTTTGTAAAATAGATGTTTTGTATGGTTAAACACAGCCGGTCTATGGGATGTGTGTACATGGTAAAATACAGAAGGAAAGGCAGGGTGAAGAGCAGGGAAGAGTCTGCCATGATGAGGTTGATCATGTACACCTTGGTTTCGGTCCAGCTCTTGATTTTGCAGCAGAAGACCCACAAGGCAATTGCGTTCAGTGGGATCCCCAGGATGAGCACTGGGATGTACATAACCAGCTGAAGCACCAAAACGTTGTCATGTGCATCTCTGTCAGTGCAGTTCTCCATGTTGGGCTGTCTCTGCAAGGAAAGAGTGCAGGCATGAGACTGAGCTCACTGGCAGTGTCCTGCGGCTGTGCCCTCCTCTCATGGCCCTGCAGCTCCTCGTGTCCGTGCGCTGCTCATGCGGGCAGCCTCAAAAACCTGAACTGGTTCAGTCCACAAAACTACCAAGACTGCCCTCTCTTGCTGCTGGTGCAGGGTTAAGCCTGCCTCACCATCCCTCCAGTCCTGGTATGAACAGTTGGGTCACAGCAAAGCAGAATACTATTTTTCATTGTTACCTTTGCTCTGCTGCAGTTGTCAGAGACACTGGCTTTAGGACAGCCCACACCAGAGCTGGGCAGCATTACCCATTTTTCCTGAGCAGCATTCCCCATTCGCCCTCCACAGCCCTTGGTTTGCTGCTGAAGCCACCCCTTGGGTTTACTCTGAGTCTTGCCAGACCTGAGAAAATCCTCAGGGCTTGAGCCCTTCCAGCCCAGTGGCTTTGCTCCCAGGGACAGTGGGAATGCAACTGCAGGCTGCTGGGTGGGTGGGTGCCTGCTGTGAGCAGGATCTGTGCCCCCAAACACAAATCCATTCCTCTGGTGGGGAGGAACAGCTCAGCAGGAGTATCAGCAGTCCTAGCAGATTACAGGCCTCCAGAGAAAGAAGGGAAAGTGAGCAAATGAGCACATGTGTCTGATCTCAGCCTTCAAAGGTAGGAAGCAAAAATTTTAGTCAGAAAATGTGAATCTGAGAACATATCTCCTGCTCTTCCTTTAAATATCTCAGGGCATTTGCCACCAGCAAAGAGGATGAATCAGATTTTGTCTGCAGCTCATATAGGAAGGGTTTGCAATGAGCCGGGCACAGAAAGTGCCCAGATTCCTACAATCTCTTACCAATACCTTGCCTTATAAGTCAGCAGCTTCTAAACATCAACATGCAAATTGTAGTGAAAATAGATGATTGCATTAAGTAAGTGAACTGTTTCTAGTGTCCAAGACTGGGAGACAGATCTGGCAGAGGAAAGCACAACACCTGCCCTAGCACCAGAACTGGTACAGCAGTGCTGAACCCCAGGCCTACAGTCATTTTTAGGGTGGAATTCGTGGAGGAATTCACATACAGCCAGCGTCCTTGTGCTCTTGGGCTTTCAGCTTCATAGGTTTTGGCCACTCTGTGGTTTCAGCCTATGCTGCAGCTGTTGCCTGGCAGCCTGTTGTGGTCACCTTGCAGTGAAAAAGCCACTCTGCCATATCAGAGGAACAGCAGAGCCCTCCGGGCTGGACATGCCAGCCCCAGGGAGCCCCACACAAGCGCAGAGCTGCCGGCAGCTCCAAGGCCGTGTGCCAGCTGTCCCCACTGCTGAAGGAGCACTAATGGGACCTGCAGCGAGGGGCAGAGAGCCCCTGAGCGGGATGTGGCTGCCATCAGAGGCAGAGCAGCTGTGGGAGCAGCAGGGAAGCCGGGCAGCGGCACTGAGCGCAGGGGAGCAGGGGATGAGGCGCACCCTGAGGGGTCGGGCAGGGCACGGTCGCTGCTGTGGGACAGGGAAGGGAGGGCTGGCTTTACCTGCTCCACAGGCGGGCTGCTCCTCACACAGGCCGCGGATGTCTCGGCAGGGAAGGGATCCGTGATGGCCGTGCTGTCACCGCTGTCCCGGGGCTGTCACAGCCCGGCAGGGCTGAGCCCAGCACTGAACTCGTGCGAACACCAGCGCTTCATTTATGCCCTGACTTCCTCGGGCTGGAGCCTTTGGTGCCCTCTGTTGTCCCGCTGCCGGCAGCTCAGAGCTCCGCCGTCGGTCCCCCCGCCCATCCCCGCCTCGTCTCTCACAGCCCGGCTATTAAAATGTCATCTTTCCAATC